TTCCAGCTGCCCTTCCCCTGAAGATAGTCCGGTCCTGATGGGAGGTGAAGATGACTCCAACTTACCCAGTACAGTGGTCTGGTGGTCCGGTGTCCTCTGCGTCTTTGTAGTGTGGAACCAGGTGGCTGTTCAGAAAAGAGGCCAGAAGAGCTGGGGGGGCGGGGCGGGGGGGCTGATTCGGCGTGTTCCGCGGGACTGGCGACCTTGGTAGGGCAGACCTGCCTGTCTGCAGTGGGCTGAATCGGCGTATTCTGCGTGACTCACAACCTCCACAAAGAACCTTTTTTAAAAAATTCGAATCTGATAGAGATGAAAAACTCTATTAATGAAGTTTAGACTGTACAGAAACCTGAAATTAAATTATATATCTACCCATTGTTAATAAATGTAGAATTGCCACACGTGCCATTATTAGCTGTTGCATTTGCAAAGTCTTCAAAAGGTGAGGGTGCTATCAAAATGCAGGAGCATTTCTGTGTATAATGCCCACCCTTTTATAGCAAAACATATTAAGCCTGTTAATATATTTACTTTATTACTGCTGGATTTTGTGTCATTCATAAAAAGGCCTACTTTCCATGCCAGAAATATTTTAAAAGTGTCTTTTTCTTTAATACTTAAATGGCTTTTGTTTTGTTTCGTTTTTATCCCTTTTTGGATAGAAATCTGTGCTGTGTATCTTTTCATTGAATTCTCATAAACACTTGGATTTATGTCTGAATTTCTCAAATTCATCTATTTGCTATTCTTGTTTCACTTTCTTCTTACATAATTTTTCTTGAAAATTTTAAAGTTTATTTTTTCTGAATTAATTTACAGTTGGTTTGTGGGGTCCTCCTGGCCTCCTTTCCCAAACCCACACCCCATGAATGAGTGTTAGTTTTTAATTGGTCTGGGAATGGTTTTATATTTCCCTTGCAGACAGAAAAATTGCTTCTAATTTTCCTGATTGTTTTTTAAGTTTCATTCACATTTAACAAGGCATTTCACATAAATATTTTCAATGATCTCTTCTTAGGAGAGGCCCCCCTTCATCCCAGAAGGTGTACTAGCACGAAAAAAAAGAATGGAAATTGGGGAGCCCAAGAAGAAAAGGGTATGTTGCTGTAACTCCCAGTCCAGTTTCCTTGTGAAGAAGGGAGCAAAAGGGCAGTGTGGGCATTGGACACAAGATGAGCATCCCCCAGTGCCTGGTCTGTTAGGTTTTGGAATATAGCACTGAATCCCCAATAGAAGTCTCTACTCATGAAATTGTTCAGCTGATAGTAGATTCCAGTGAAATACGTAAGATATGTAGTCCATCAGATGATCAAAAACAGTTTCCCAACTAGAAATAAAAGCTGAACCTCACAGATACTGAAAGGATTGAAAATATTATTTCACTGCAACAGGGAGGGGGCAAAACCTTTTTGACTTAAAAGGTAAAATAAAGCTGACTTTATATTATTTGTTTTTTCCATTGCAGGAACGAGATCTTGAGTTGGAAATGGGAGATGATTATATTTTGGATCTTCAGAGTAAGAGCTAGACTGCAATAGATGTTTTAAATGCCAGTTACATGTGAAGTGTTTGAGAAAAACAAGAAAGGATATTCATGAGTAAAAGTCTCCCAGCACATATTTGTCTGGGGGTGGGGGGGTGAGACAGGGTCTCACTATGTAGTTCAGGCTGCCCTTGAACTCCCTCTGTAGTCCTAGCTGCCCTCAAACTCACAAGAATCCTGCTTCAGCCTCCTAAGTGCTGGGATTGCAGGTGTGCAGTACCATGCCCAGCTCTAATTTTTAATTTCTTGAGGATTAGAAGTTGCAAACTGATAGGGCTCTAAAATTTTTTCCTTCCAGGTCATTTTCTATTGTTTTTAGATGAGAAGATTAGTTTTATTTTTTTTGCAGTATGTAAATGTTAGTGCCGTCTGGTTAGTAATTTATGTAGTGTTGAACATAAATGCTCTAATTTTTGTAGAGTGATGTCTTGGCAAAAGTTTTAACTCAATTTGGACATACTGTACTTGAAGATATTAGAAACTACTAGCTGGGGATTTAGCTCAGTGGTTTCGCCACCTATTGTGCAAGCGCAAGGACCCAAGTTCGATCCCTGGTACCAAAAAAAATAATAATAACTACTATAACAACTTTTTTTTTTTAACTTTAGAATACTGGGATTTAATGAATTCATCCGAAAAATATGATAAGATACCAGAGATCTGGGAAGGGCACAATGTAGCTGATTATATCGATCCTGCTATCATGAAGGTCTGTGTCACTTTTTCCCCCCTTTTTGATATAGTCATTTGAAGATACATGCCCAACTTTTTGATAACTTTTTGCCTTTCATTTTCCTGTACCCCGACCCTGATGCAAACGCCCTACCTCATTCTACACTCACTCAGACATCGCCACCCCTTTCATCTCTGACGACACTGCCGCCCCTGCACTGCGTGCTCCCAGAGACAGCCCGGGCCCTTTCATTGGCTCTTACAGGGTGCATTTCAATAGGGGTGGCATTGGTACCACCTTGCGGATCCTGGAACTGGTGGGGATTCTTCTGTCACAGGTGGTTTCTAGCTTTTTTACTTCTTTCAGACCTACCTGTATTTCCCTCTGGCAGTCCATCAGGTCGTGCCACATTATCACAAAAACAGCGCATGGGTTGTGAGCTCTGCACTCCTGGTTTTTGTCCATATCCCACTGACCTTTCAGTCTGAGTGGAAGCTGAGCTATTGAAGAGGTTCCACCTGTTCTCAGATGCATTCTTTAGAGCTTTGCTCCATCACTGACATCCTTCTGCTGCTTCAGTCCCTCTTCCCTACTTACTCTCAGATAAATGTCTATAAGTTTCTCTCATTTAAAAAAAAAGTTTTCCTTTCTTTCCTCAAATCTTTTGAAAAAAAAACTTTATACAGTATTTCCTCATTTTTCCACTCTTCAATTTTTATATGTCCTGCTTTCTATTTTCAGTATAGTCTTCATGAGCTCATTACACCCTGCATCTCAAAATTTATTTCCTGTCTGGAAGTTGAGCTGGGTAGCAGTATTGTGATTTGAGTCCTCAGTGAATGAACGTAAATGTCAGCCTGCTCATTCTGTGTCCCTGCTGTTCATTTACAAATATCCCTGTCCTCCACCTTCTCATTTTCATCCTGTGTGCCTTTGCCCTAGTTGATCTCCCTGCTTTTCCACTGTCTTCCCCTTTGTATTCTTTCCACACCCAGAGTTGAGATATCTTATGACTCCTTTCCTTAAACAGCTGTGCTTCATGCATTCCTCTCTGCTTGTGTCACACCCACTTTTCTTGGCACAAGACGGTGGCCTGTGGAAGGGCTGGTCCAGACCTTCCACAGGTCACCGTGCTCTTCACCTCACTTGCTCTTCAATTTTCACCATGGTCAGGATATGGGCACATCACCCTGTGGAGCTCTTGTCTAGATTGGTTTGGTAGGGTAAAAGATATGTGCATGTGTTTTTTTTAATTGAGTTTTTATCTTTATAGCCAGAGAGGTTCTATTTAGTATGGTATCAAAATGGATCAATGAATGTTATACAGGTTCATTTCATGCTTCTGGAAGCACTAGGGAGCGAGGGAAGTGTTCTCTGCAAGATTTAGTGTTGAAGTTTGTTTTAAAGAAAACAAAATGGCACAGAACAGTACTGACATGCCGTCAATGTGTTTATGTAGTCTCCATTTTCCTCCCAGAATCTTTTTTTCTATGAGTCTGTACATAGACCAGACCCAGTTGTGATCAGATTGTGGTTCCCATAAACACATTGCCACACCTACTGACTCAGAAGTTTTTCCTTTGTTCATTGTGTTTGATTATGGCTATTTTTTAAAGAAATTGGAAGAGTTAGAAAAAGAAGAAGAATTAAGAACAGCTGCTGGAGAGTATGACAGTGAATCTGAAAGTGAAGATGAAGAAATGGAGGAAATCCGACAGCTGGCAAAACAAATTAGAGAAAAAAAGAAATTGAAAATTCTGCAGTCCAAGGAAAAGAATACTCAGGGACCTAGGATGCCTCGAACTGCTAAGAAGGCAAGTTTTATGTCATGTCAAAAAGGCATGGCCTATTTTTTATGCATTGGATTCTTGTGTAAATCATTTAAAAGCTAAATTTCAACCTATTTGTGGCCCTAAGATTGCAGATACTCTGATTGTTGGTATATATATACTTGCAAAATGGTTTGCCTCACTCTGTTGTTTTCTGATTATTCTGCTTTTTCTTGGTGGCCTTCAGTTTCAAGTTCTGTACTATTCTAAATCTTAGTCATTTTATAATTGTACATGTTAAAATGGTTAATTTATGACCCAGAATTTTAAAGCCATCAATTAGCATTTTCTTATACTTTACTTTCTATGTTAATGAGAATTATTTATCTTTTGCAATTTATAGAAACCTAACCCAGTCTAACTTAAACCCAAAAGCAATTTATTGGCCCTTGTGACTGGTTAGGATGGGGAGAATCACAATATAGACATGAATGGATCAGACAGTGTCAGGATTCTTCCTAATTCTCAGCTTTATCCTTGTTGGGATGTCATTCTCTTTGGTCTTATCTGGGTGGCATGTCAGACCCAGGTCTTATGCCCATCCCTATAGCCATGACAGGGTCTTGTGATCGCTGCCCTGGACCACAAGTAGGGGAAGGGAGTTCCACAAAGACAGCATGGAGGGCAGTTACAATGTAATAGAAAAGGAAGAAAAATAATTTGACATTATAGACAACTTTCAGTGGATATTCATGTTTGAAAATAATGTTTTCATATTGACAGACTTGGGCATTTTTATATTTCTCTTGATGGTGTACCCAGCAATCTCTGGGAGATGTCGTGTACTGATTCTGTCTGAGGGTGTGTCACTAACCTCAGCTTTAATATCTCATCTATACCATGGAAACAATCACTCTCTTATCCCCTGGGTTGTTTCGAAGACTGAAAGGATATAAACTTTGTGTTATTACACATAGGAATTGCTCAGTCAGTCTTATTTTTTGTGGGATTTAATTGAATTCTCCAGTACCACGTAGGTGATCCCAAGTAAAAATAAGTGTAATCAATCATTATAAAAGGTCTAATCAGAAGATAAAGAGGAAAATCACACTTTTTCCTACTATATGCTCATGACATAGGTCACTTCTGTGAGATGAAGAATATTTTAAGGGACAGAAATAAACAGCCAGATAAAGCAGTAAATAGGGTGAGATCCAGAAGGGTCTTGAATGTGGAAACTTGTGTCCTTCTGGATTTGGCATGCCCGACCCTCCCTGTTCATAGTTGACTTTTTGTTCACTTTTCTGCAAGCCTGCATGTGTTCATTTTTCCAAACCTGTCCTTTTGGGTTTTTATGGGGACTTGATTGCATGAACACGATTGAAACATGGACAGCTGCTTAGAAATGTGATTGGGCAAAAGGGTCTGACCTAATGCTAACATAAAACGTAAAGGCAAGGGAAGATTAGAATACATTTTTATTTTTTATGGCCTTCCATGGGGAGGTCAAAGAAAGTTCCTCCTTTCTTTGGGGAGAAAAATGAACAAGTGAAAGGGCAGGAGGAGGTTAGAGTTTTTGCTTTCTGAGCCTTGAGGGCACCCAGTTTGTTGCAAGTCTCTCCTTTACCTCTGTCACTCAGAAGTTGCTTCAGGAACTGAGCACTAAAGGCCACATACTTTAACCTCGTTGTTCTAATCATTTAGGAAATAACAAGGGCTATGGGAGTGATGAGCCAGGAACTATGAATGAAAATCAAACTAATATATATTGTAGTACAGTGGTAACTCACTGTTACAAATGATTTATTTTACAATTTTTGGAAGGTGGTTGTGTTTGTGTTTGTGTGGGGAAGATGGCCGTGGTGACGACATGGTCACATTTTGTCGTATGATGTGGAGTTAGCGAACGGAAGCAAAATTTTGCCAGATGCTTTTGTTTGCAAACAGAAGCATTGGTGAACTGACGTATTACTCTATCACATGTATACTTTCCCTTGATTTAAAAAAAAAGCATTTGATCAAACTAATTTGGCTTAAAACAACTTATTTTCAGGTTCAGCGGACAGTTTTGGAGAATGAGATGCGAGGTCTTGGTATTAACATGGATGATAAAGACAATGTAAGTGCACAGGGATGATTTCAGATGCAGTAGCACTTTGCTTAATGATAGGGATGTGTCCTTAGAAATCTGTCATTAAATGATTTTATCATGTGATCACCACAGCATGTACTTACACAGACCTAAATGATACAGCCCACTGCACACTTAGGCTATGTAACATACACAAATGGTATTCCCTTGTTGCTTTAGGGCCAATGAAATCAACAGGAGATTAATCAGGCAGGTGAGAAAATGATGCATGAAGATGCAGTAGACATGAGATGTAGTGGCTGCTGCCAGTGTAACTGTATACCTTTCTTGTGACTACACAGTAAAATAATGACAAAAATAGTAAATATATGTCAGTAACAGTCTTGTTATCATTATCAAGTATGATACACTGTACATAATTGTATATGCCATACTTGTATACAGCTGCAGCACAGTAGGTTGTGTACACTTGCATCACCACAACCACATGTATAGTGCTTTGTGGTGTGGAATTATGACAGCTATGTCACTGAGCAATGGGAATTTTTCAGCTTTTTATAAACTTATGGTACCATCATATACATGCCTGATAGTTGACTGAAATGTTGTCATGTGGCACATAACTGTGTTTGGATATAGCTTTTTAAATAAAGAAACCAAGGTCTTGAAAACCTGTGAGAATACAAAATTAGTTTTTAAATTGGAGGGAAAAGAATTTAGAACATTCCACATTTCTGTTGACTTATTGTTTGAAGTGACAGGTTATCGGCCATGCTACTCTTGTTCCCCCTGGTGAATAGTTTGGGAGCATATGGTTCAACGTCCATGCTGTTGGTGCACAAAGATGGTGTTTTCAGAACCCAGCTCTTGATCAGCTTTGGAGAAGAGTTTAGGAAGACCTTGCATGCTCCACTTTCCTTAGTTGAAGGAGGAAGGTTCCTCTGTGTTACATTTCCATTTTAATTGCCATCAGTTATGTGGAGTGATCCTATGCTTTTGTTTTTACTTTTTGTTCATATTTCATTATATGTGTATATATATATTATCTTTTACTTTCATGTTAGTGGAAAATTTGGAAAATACTGAGAACTACAAAGAAAAAAATCTGCAGTTATATTACAAAAAATAAAGTAAATTGAAAGGTAGAAGATATCTTTTTGTTCACTTTTCCATACAGACGGTTTTTCATATTTGTCTCTTTTTAAATACATTTATATCACATTCTACATGTGTACAGCTCATTGTGGTACAAGCATTTTTTTTTCAATTTAAGCTAAATTTCTCACTATTTATTTGGTTAGTTAGCTTCTTTTGGTGGTACTGGGATTGAATCAAGGGCTTTCACACTGAACCACATCCCCAGTGTATTTTTTGTTTTGAGACAGGATCTTGCTGAGTTGCCCAGGCTAGCCTCAAACTTGCAATCCTCCTGTCTCAGCCTCCCAGAATACTGGAATTTCAGGCATGTACCACTGTGCCTGTCCTTATACTTTAACAAAATTTAATTTCTTTTTATTTTAGATCTTTTGGGTTATTTGAATTTAAGAAATTCATTTATTTGCTGTCACCTCAGAATCCAAGATGATACATAAGAAATATATAATAAAATAACATCAGGGGAAAATATAAATTGGATTCGGGTGTTGAAGTGAATAGGTAACTACCTTTCTAGGAGTCCAAAGATGCGAAGGCATTTTATATATATATTAGGATTTGTAACTTGTTTTCTATGATGAATTATGCTGCAGCCTTATTCATCTTCATATAAAAGGTCTTTTTATGTTCTTACTGTTTTCTCAAAACAGATTTCTGGAAATGGATTTAACCAAATTCAAAGGACAACATTGTATTAAAGCTTCTTTCAAAAAAGGCTAGGATAATTTAAATTTAATCAGTAATGTTTAAGGATATAGTGGTACCTCGATTCACAAGCAGTTTTGTTTGCAAATGGTTTGGTATGCAAACAAAAGTGTTAGGCAGAATTTTGTTTTTGTTTGCAAACTCTACATCTGGTGACAAGCACGACTGTGGCCATCTTTCTTGCACAAATGCAAATGTACCCATCTTTTCCAAAATCGTGGATCAAATTAAGGTCATGAACTGAGGTACCACTATACCTATTTGCTTCATGTATACATGCATGGAGAATTGTTTTAATGTGCGTATGTATCTTTGAACATTTGACTGTTAAGTTCAGGCTTAATACCTATCTTTATGTGGTTGGATATAACTTTTTTTTTTGGTACCGGGGATCGAACTCAGGACCTTGCTCTTTCAAGTGAGATGCAGTGCCACTGAGCAAAATCCCCAGCCCCGGATATAACTTTTTTAATCAAGACAACCAAAGTGTTGGGAAGACTTTTTGAAGTAGTTGTATTATTCTTATGTTACAAAGAAAAAAGCAAAATATGAGCAAGGTTGAGGGCCTCATTTAAAGCCCTATGAGCAGCACAAGGCAGAGTCAAGGGTCTGACTGTAGAACCTGTCCTCATAAATAAGCAGTCTACATGTCTTTTAAACTTCAAGTTGACTTTCTGATAATTGTCTCTTTGTGTTCAGATACATAATCCCAAAGTGGAGGAGTAAGGAAGAGAGAATTCTGTATGTCTGAATGTAAATCATTGTGCTAAATCTAATGATCAGCTTTGTAACATAAAGCAGCCATGTTAAGAATATTTACCAGTAATTACGAAAAATTAATTATGTGTATCTTAAAAATCTTTTGCTCTAATGGTTCTTTAAACTCCTAACTGCCCTCTCCCTTTGTTGGAGTAGTTTTCTCTTTTGGGGGGGTGGGGGAGTACCAGGGATTGAACTCAGGACCTTGTGCTTGCAAGGCAGGCGTTGGCACCACTCAGCTAAATCCCTGGCCCTTGTTGGAGTAGTTTTGATTGTCACTGAACCTGGAAGCAGGGAAGAAATCTTGAGCTCTGAAGATTGCTTTCTGTGCGTTTTAGGCCCACTATGCAGTCCAGGCAAGAAGGTCTCGAAGTGTCACTAAGAAAAGAAAGCGGGAAGGATCTCTTCCACCTACCTCGGTAGCCTGGAGTCGGAGTTGCTCTCGAACTCCACGTGATGTTTCTGGTCTTCGGGATGTAAAGGTTAGTCTGCAATATGTAATACAGTGGACCCTCGAGTTATGACCAGTCTGACAAAAGAACAACTTGGGTTATGACTGGAATTTTAGTTTTAACTTATGAACAAAGTCTTGAGTTACACCCCAAATACTGGCCGCTTGTGCTCCCAGATGATCTCAGATACAGATTTAACCCTTCCTTCTGAAACGAACATTACAACATCCTTTCCTGTGTGGGGTTAAATCCTGAGCCAGTTTCTCTAAGGACACTGAGATCTGCCTGTATACAGGAGAGAGACTTTGAAGACTGTGTAGAGGAGCCTGAGTCTTCAATTGACTGACTTGGGGTACAGCCAGCCCTCAGAAATGAATTGAGTTCATAAGTCAAGGATCCACTATATAAGAAAATAAGAGTCTCTACTGTGTATTTACACAAGAGCTCAGAGCAGGCTCTGAGCAACCAACAGTTGTTATTTGGGGACACAGGACCTACTGTCAGGGGGTTATCTGTATATTCTCCCCCTAGTTTCTTGGTATCCTTTAGCAGAGGATCCCGGGCCAGGGAATAGTTGAATGCTCCTGGTAGTTAACCTAGGTGGACCATTCTCTGATGCTTTCCCTTTTTTTGGAGAGTGGAAAAAAACAGGTTCTTGTAAAGTACCCGTAGTCTGAGGATAGGTCCACCTGTTTAGGGGAGTGAGAGTACTAGGAAATGGCCCCTCAACACCCGGAGGCCTCAGTTCTGGAGATCCCATGGAGGAACCTGCTTAGAGGGAAGTATTTTCCAGTTGATCATGAAGTGATCCTGCTTGTCTTCATGTCGTGGAGACATACCCCCTCCACGTCCCCCTAGATGATAGATTAGTCCCTGTCTAATCATTTGTTGTGTTTTTTGATAGACACAAGATGTCCATAGTCTCTTTGGCCAAAAGGTCTTTTTAATAAACAAAAATTTTTAGTTTCAGCATTTTGAAAATTAAGGTGTAGGAGAAAGTCCGTATATAACCTGGCAAGCAGTCTACTTTATAGACACTTGAGTTTTTCATTCCAGTGTGTCATTTCCATCTGGAGATCTGGGCTTTAATATTGGCATTGTCAATCAGATGTGAGTAATATATTCTCATGGGCCTGAGTTTCCCAGTGTTAGTTTGTGTAAGGAGTTAGAACAGATATACTGTAATCTTCTAAAATGTTGTAGTTTTAGGTATTAAACTTGTCCTAAATAAGGTTTTTATTGAATTTTAATACGCAAAGATCCATGGAGTTTCTGCAGATACTGTGCTGGGCCTAAGGAAAAACAGTGAATTAGAACAGATCTGATCCAACAAAGCATGCAGTGAAAACTTGATTTTCCTTAATTAACTTTATTTTCTCCCTGTCTATAGATGGTGAAGAAAGCCAAGACTATGATGAAGAATGCTCAGAAGAAGATGAATCGCTTGGGGAGGAAAGGGGAGGCAGATAGACATGTGTTTGATATGAAGCCCAAGCACTTACTCTCTGGAAAGAGGAAAGCTGGTAAAAAAGACAGAAGATAGTGTCTTTTTCAGTGACATGGTTTAGCTAGACTGGCTCTTCTGGTATGATTTCATAAAACTAGAATAATTTATTAATTGAAAAAACAATGGAAATAGCTAAAGGGCTTGTTGCTGAAAATGGTGATTAACCCTATAGAGGTGTGCGTAATATTACAAATATTTTGATTAGATAGTGTTTCTGCATTTTATAGAGTTGATTCAGATTTCAAACTGAAAGATTTATTGGTATGACTATTGGGGTTTTTGATGGAGAAAAATCTTTACTTTGGAAGAGGTAGCTTTGGTTTATCACACATGAATAGCCATTTTTCTCTTCACCTTGTGGTATATGCAGAAGGCTACCAGCTCTGACCTGCAGGGTTGGGAGAAAATCTGTTTATGAGTGTATCAGGACCCTGTACTTAAAATATTCTCAAATTATTTTCTAGTCCTTTTGTACAATATATTGTTATAATCTGTCTTTAACTGTTTTATCCAAAATAAACCTCCAGAGAAAAATAGCTTTGATATACTGAAGTTTTTGGTGGCTTTTTTTTTTTTGCTTCTTGTTTTAATTACAAATCAATATTGATTTGGCCAAGTGAGAAAGGAGAACAAGATAGAACGTTTATTTTTGAAGCAAAAGTACTTTTTGGAAATAAAATGCCTAAGGTATTGCAGCAGTTAAATGTGATACCTCCTGTTTTATTAGACCATTGTTGAATAATCAGCAAAACACAAGAACACCCCAACACTGCCATAAAGACTACCTCCTGGGCCGGGGATTTAGTTCAGTGGTTCCACTGCCTGCCTTGCAAGCGCAAGGTCCTGAGTTCGATCCCTGGTACCAAAAAAAAAAAAAAATACTACCTCCTGGGAACTTGTTATCGAATATCTTTAGTGGATAAAATTGTGAGGTTTATGTAAGCTTAAAACCCTCAAGCATGGTAAAATATAACAAGTGAACATAATGAAGTAGTAAATGTTTAAAATACCACTTCTTGATTAAAAGACAATTGTTAGCACTATTTTATCTGTAGTTAAAAACAGATGTGTTCCACTTAGCAAGTCATGCTGCCAAGTAGTGCACTCTCAGAGTACACCTGTGTGTTGTGTCTTCTATGGTTTTTGTAATATAATTCAAAGATGTTTTTATGGATAGATGTGTTTACAGTGTTGTATATTGGGGATATAAAGATGCCTGCTAAAAATGGTTACATTAAGAAATACAAAAATTCCAGTGACATCAAGTAGAAAGTACTAGGGATTAATCTCTCCACATAGAAAATAGTTGTGCTGTTAGAAATAGATCTTACTCTTGGAACTTGAGTTTGTTCATCCAATAAATTATAGTTAATTTCAGCCTTTGGCATGGTCACCCCCAGCCTCATGGCAGAGTGAGATTCCTGGAGTTAAAAGTCAGAGTGGACACCAAAGACTTTGTCTTTGAATTCTGTTTTCTAATGGACATTTGCTATGTCTGATGGTGGATGTGCAGACACAGAAGTGGGCCACCATTGTTGCAAATGCCTATTAGCTAAACTGGCTTAGGGGAATTTAAAGGACTACTACCTGTCTACTTGTTTGTTTACCCTCTTGGGGCCAGACATTTAAGAATTAGATCTTTAGGGCCGGGGATTTAGCTCAGTGGTTCCGGTGCCTGCTATACAAGCGCAAGGTCCCGAGTTCAATCCCCAGTACAAAAAAAAAAAAAATTAGACCTTCAAGGGGTTGTGGTGTAGGCCTGCACTTCTAGCACTCGCGAGGGTGAGGCAGGAGGATCTCGAGTTGGTGGCTAGCCTGGGCTATGTAGTGAGACCCTGTCTCAAAAAAATCAAACAAAAAAGGAATTGAGACCTTCTAAAAGCTAATGATAAGAAATTTCAAAAACAGAGCTGGGGATTTAGCTCAGTGGTTTGGTCACCTGCTGCGCAAGTGCAAGGACCCAAATTCGATCACCGGTACCAAAAAAAAAAAAAAAAAGAAAGAAAGAAAAAGAAATTTCAAAAACAACTGCATGTTCTGGAGAATTTAGTCACTGCACATTTCCAAGGAAGGACACATGCTCAGAAAAGAGCTGAGAAAGACCGTAAGTGTTTTTTTCAAGCTGACCTCTGGGACACATACCCTGAAACAATACAACAAAACCAATCCAGCCAATCATAGTGATAGCAGATAATTTTATTTTCCAGAGTTAACCACCATATACAAATGTCAGATTTTCAACAACAACAAAATCCAAAGAAAGAAAGTATGACCTATTAAAGAAAAACTGTAAATTGACAGAAACTGTCCCATGCCAAATTTAGTAGATTAAAACTTGTACAATCTAAGTATACTCAGAATGCTAAAGGAGCACATGGACCACATCAGGAATTGAATGTACAAATAAAATAGCAAACCAATAAGAATCAAATTGTGGATCTGGGAAGTACAATAACTGAAATGAAAAATTTACCAGAGATATTCAAAAACAGATATGAACTGGAATAATGAAATCAGTGAACTTGTAAGCAACAATTGAAATATAAAGTGTAAGGAACAAGAAAAAAGTTGAGTAAAAGCGGCAAAGGGATCTGCAGATCAAGCAGACTAACATATGCGTTATCATAGCCCCCAAATAGAAGGAAGGTACATGGACAGAAGACATCCTGAAAAAAATGAGTGATACTGGTATTTCCCCATAGATGTAATGTGAAACTCCATAAGGATCCCAGAGGCCTGTACCAAGATACAAAATATCTAAAGACAAAGAGGGATTCAGCAAGTGATTCATCACATAGAAAAGATCATAAAGATTTTCAATTTCTTATCAGAAATCTTGGAGTTCAGATCTGGGGATGTAGCTTGTGGTAGAGCACTTGCCTAGCATGCTTGAAGCTCTGGGATTATAACCAACACCTGGGGAGGCCAGGTGGGTGGAACCTTGGAGTCTAGAAGGTGGTAGTTTGATATATACTAAAAGGAAAAAAGGAAACTGAGAATTCTCTATCTGACAAACTATCCTACAAAAATGAAGGAGAAATTAAGATATTTTCAGATTAAAAAAAACAAGTCTTTGTAAATAGGGAAGGGTGGAGAGGGTGAAGGAGGGCAGGAAAATGGGGAAAAAATAAGAACCAAAATGTGTCATGTAAAGGTACAAGATCCCAATGATGGATTTAACTATTTTATACCTAAAATGTACCAATAAACTTAATGGGAAAAAAAAAAACCCTTAAAATGTTTGTTACCATTAGACCTATCCTGTAAGGAATACTAAAGTCGTACAGGTTGAAATGAAGACACTAGACAATAAAGACAAGTGAACAATAAAGATACCCATTAAAGGTAATACATAAACAATAAAAGCTAGTTTGTCATTTAAGTTTGTGACTACTTACTTGTGTGTAATTTAAAAAACAAATGGCCTGTGAGTTTATTTTGGGGTGCACAAAATGTATAAAGATGTAACTTGTAATATCATTCACTGCAAGGAGATGGAAATGGAGCTATATAGGAGAGTTTTTGTATGCTATTGAAATTAAGCTGGTGTAAATTAAAATGAAAGTGGTATAACTTTAGGACGTTAAATGAAATCTGGTAGCCACACACACACAAAATAGCTGTAGAGTATACACAAAAGGAATTAAAGGGAGTCAAAATTTTGCTACAAAAAATCAGCTAAACGAAGACAGTAGGACGTACAGAAAAATACCAAGATGGCAAGTCCCTGTTTACCAGTAATTACTTTAAATGCAAAGGGATTAACTTTTCCAATCAAGACAGATTGACAGAATGATTTTTTAAAAATACAAACAATCCAACTATATCCTGTCTACAAGAGGGTCCAGAGATACAAATAGTTGAAAGGGAAGGATGGCTATGCTAATAGACAAAACAGACTAGATTAAAATAGTTTGAAGAGATAATGAAGGGCTGGCATGGTGGTGCAAGCCTATGATCCCAGCACTCTGGAGGCTGAGGCAAGAGGATCACCATGAGTTCAAGACCAGCCTGGGGTGCATAGTGCAGCCCTATCTTAACAAAAAAAGGCCAAGGATTCTACTATATATTAATAAAAGGTTCAGTTCTGATATCAGGTTATAAACATTTATGTACATAATAACAGACCTTTAAAGATATGTGCAGCAAAAGTTGAAAGAAAAAGGACTATAGTACCAATTGGAAACTTCAGCACTTTAAGTTATAAGTAGAACAAACAAAAATTAGGAAATAGAGGACTTGAACCATACAGTAAATCAACTGGGTCAAATATGCAGAACATTTACCCAATAACAAGAATACATTCTTCTCAAGTGCTAATGGGTCATTCTCCAGAGTAAACTATGTCAGGTCACAAAATCTTGATAGATGTCAAGCAGAGTATCTTAACCCACAAGGGTAAGTATGAAGTGAGAAGTTAACAAAAGGAATGGTGGAAAATCCCCAAACGTGGAAATTAAACACATTATTGAACAACCAACAGATTAAGAAAAAATCAATAGGGAAGTTAGAAAATACCTTGAGATAAATGGAGAAAAATGTATGGGATGTCATGAAAAAAGTTGCTATGAACTACAACATGTTGAATCCCTAACTCCCATATGACTGCTCATAGATAAACCTGAAAGGAAGTAGTAATCAAGATTAAATGAAGTGGGCTGGGGATTTAGCTCAGTGCTTCTGCCGCCTGCCTCGCCAGCACAAGGTCCCAAGTTCGATCCCCAGTACCAAAAAAAAAAAACCCCAAAAAAGATTAAATGAAGTGATAACAGTTGGCCCTAATATAATAGCAGTGATGTCTGTAATTATAAAGAATCACCAAGGAGTGCTCTCCACAAGAGCATTTACATATGCCAATGTAAAGCTGGAAGACAACTTAAAGACTAACTTTTTTTATATTTTAGATGAAGGAAATGAGGCTAGGAGTTTTAATCTAAGGTTACTCACCAGTGAAGAACAAAAGTTAGCGTATTTGTCTATTTGTGTTACAATAATAAATATCAGAGGCTAGGTAGCTTATTACAGAAATTATCTTCTCACAGTTATGAAGGCTGGGAAGTCCAAAGTCAAGGCACTGCAGGTTTGGTGTCTGGTAAGGGTTTTGGTTTCTTCTCCCAGCACAGCACCTGTTGCTGAGTCCTCCAGATGGGATGAACACAAAAGGACAAAAAATGGACTAGGACAGTGCCATCCAGTCCTGTTATAAGAGTGCCAATCCATTCACTGGGACAGGCCCTCATGACATCATCAGTCCCACACAGCTGCATCTCTTAACAGCACAATGGTGACTGAGTTTCAATATGAATTTCAAGGGGGCACACATTCACATCACAACACCAAGACAGAAAGTGAGGTGGTCTGGGTTCAACAGAATTTGTCTCCAGTACAAAAGTTCTATGCATACTGATATTTCTAAGAAGCTCAGCAATTTGAGAGAAATTACCACTTTTGTCCTTTGCAACAGGTTTTCTCTGAAGTCTGTTAATTTTTTTTATCAATTCCAAAACCATGAAGATGTTTATATTTCTTCTTTTCTTTTGTGC